TGATAGGAAACCATGTCTTACCTAGCACAGGTTCACAATTTTATGATCCTATTTAATAATTTAATAAAATTTTCTCTCCGAAACTGCTGATCAGAAATGTGAGGCCTTTGAAAACAGATTCTTTCACCATGTATTACTTGGAGCATTGCTTCTTGCCTGGGTACAGTATTGCAGTGTGAATAAAAAGGAAGAAAAAAATAATCATTGGAAGTACTCTTACTTATTGTGAGGTACTTCAGTTTTCTTGAAGTTTGAAATATTTGTGTATTTTAATAGGACTGCAAGACTAAAAGGAACAAGTCAAGTGGTATCTAAAACGCGAGTTGTCAGTGATTTAGATTTCTTCAACTGACAATTTTCTTCAGCTTTGTCCTTCATCCTCCTCTCTATTGCTGCCAAATGCATCAAAAAGTTAGAAACAGACTAGGAAATAGAAAGAAGAGGTTGAAGGGGCTTGACAGTCCAGGTTCCTGCTGAGCAAAAAGGGTGGCTAGGTTAGCCTAGAGACAGCTAACTGGACCTTTCATGAAGAAGGCTAGGAAATTATATATTTAGATCACAGCTAAAAGTTGTTTGTTTTAGTAAAATGGTATTGATGTTTCTTCTCCTTGTTGTTTGCAGTGCCTTGAAGTTTCAAGAACACGAAGGCCAGCAGACCAAATGCATAGGAAGATACATATTCACAGTTTCGGTTATAGAGTTGGTCACCAGTCATCCCGTGTGTATAATTTTTATGTTATATTACATTGATTGTCATATATTTGTTATCACATCAGCTTACTATGTTTATTATATTACACCACATCACTGTTTTTCACCATTTTGTATACAACAGTTATGTTCTGTTTGTGCATGTTCATACATGTGTATCTGCGTTCATCTCTTCTTTGGTCTTGAGATGATACTGACATGTGCTCACCTTGCTTTTCTCATTGTACCCACTACCTAATGCTCCTTTCTCCCCCCGTTCTGCTACTATCACTGGAGAGTGAAAGGTACCTCAGTGGGTCCCAGCCTGGTATTATATTTGGTTTTTTTTATAGCTTTCAATGACCTATAAGTGCAGCACCCAGTGGCCAGTCTGGCATATGCCAGATGAGCTGTCAGAGTAGGCCTCTGTCAGGCAATACCATATTATTACTAGATTGCAGCACCTCAATATTGACATTAAATATTTAATTAAACTAAACTATCATGTAATTAAATAATTTAATTAGACATTAAACCCTATTCATCCCTAAGAATTTGGTGAAGTAAATTGTTGGCTGATTGTTTCAGTAAGTTATTGATGGATATGATAATATCCATTTGATAATATTCAAAGAAAATTGCCCATTATCACATACACAGCAAGATATCCATATGTAGAAAAACATTAAGGACCGTGGCAAATTAATTCTATCTGCTCTAGCTCAGAATAAGCAAATCCCTGCCCCAGTAAAGAGTTGACTAATTCTACTGTCTTTCATTGCCTTAGTACCTCATCAGAACAAAGTTTTTGACTAGCTCACACCTGTCTAACAGGTTTCATTGTTTTTCTTTCTAATTGGGCTTATCATCAAACCTCAGTATTCAATTGAAGTAAAATTTTGTACATATGAGGGCAGTCACCCAGAACCTATAAAAGGAAGCATCAGAAAAAGCCAGGGGAGATACCATGGTGGTTACTCAGTGTGAATTTGAGGAGTCTAAGTAGTGCATGTTTTGACTTGTGTTTGGTGGGTGCTAAGGATGCAGTGACAAAAACAGTCTAGGAGCCTCCGTGATCCGAGGTGTGGTGGAAGTGGGGGCCAGAATGAAAACAAAGACAACTTAGAGAGATGGAGGAGAGAGATGCCTGAGGGGAGATGGGCAGGCCTTTAAGGAGAAGTGCTACTGGATGTTATCCTTGAAGACAGACAAGGATTTGGATGACATAGTTAAGTTCATTCTAGGACTGAGGGCAGAACAAGTTGAACAGTTTTGTAGTGACTTAGAGATTAATTTGACACAGAGTTTGCCAACAGGATATGCAAGTAGAGATGTACAACAGAGAATACAGCCTTGGGGTCTTGTAGTGCCAGAGAGATATCTGAGATAGATATATATGGATCTGGAAACACAGAAATGATAACTGAACTAAAGAGAGCTGGTGAGATCAAAAAAGACAAGAGATAGTAGAGACAAAGCCAAACCAGGCCCATGGCACATTCTCTCAAACTAGAATAGTTTGAAGTACAACACAGAGACAGTGGTGTCTCTGGTGCATGGACCAGTCTGTCTAAATTCAAGGAGGTTCATCACTAGAAAGCTGACCAGCAAGTGATAATTTTTAGGGGAGATAGACAATGCAACAATTGGTGGAGACAATGTAAATCAGAACTGTTGAAGATCTTGAGTTGACAGGGGCGAGTGGTCCATAGCAGTGAAATCATATATCTTTTGATGAACAGATTCAAGAAGTGTATGGTATATTAGTCCCATTTGAACCACTCTAAAATAACAATTTCAGATAGTTTTAAAGCTTCCCCTATCCTACCCCAAGCACATCAGTTTAAGCAGATCTTAACAGATGCTAGAGGTAAATGTGCCCAGCTGGAACAGGCCAGGTTCCCCTTGTGATCCATTACAAACACATAAATTCAGTGTATATTTACAAGAATAACATACTTATTGCAACAGTACCTTATTATGAATTAAGAAGAATAATCAAATCACTGACACTGGTGGCTGTCTTGTCTAACCTCCACACCCAAAATGTTCTTTACTCACTTTCCAACTTTTTAGTATCCTATATAAACTCGTACGGAGTTTGCAGGCCACTAAACCCCCCAAAACTTTTTTTTCCTCAGAACAGCTCCTGTCCGTGCTTCTCCAGTTTTATATTGGTGAAGTTAATTTTTTTGGGCCTCAAGCAAATAATTTTACATTTATGCACATTGATGTGCATCTCGATATATTTTGAAACCAGACTTTTTTTAGTCACTATCTTTATTATCTCTCTTAGCTATATGTCAGCCACAAATTTGATGAGTATACCATCTATACGTTTATTCAAGTGATTGATAATGGTGTTAAAGATGACAGGGTCAAGCAAGATCCCTGGAATATGTTATTTGATGCCTCCTGCCATACAGATATTGAATCATTGCCATCTATTAATTGAGTCTGGCTGTCCAACAGCTCTGAATCTAATTTTTTTTTCCTAATCTATATCTTTCCTTTTTCTCCAAAAGAATAGTATGAGCTATTTAACTAAAACCTTCACTAAAATCAAGTTCTACCAAATATACAGTGCATTCCTCTCATCTACTAGTTTAGAATCATGTCAGAAAAGGAAATGAAGATAGTCTGGCATGACCTGCACTTAAAAAAGCCAGGCTAACTCTGTACAATCACTGCTTCTCTTTCTAGATGGTTGACAGTCTTGAAGGATGTGCTTTAGAATTTTACCTGGAGTTTAAGTGAAGCTCCCTAGTTTCGTTTCTGCAGACTCTGGTGTTTTGTTTGTTGGGGTTGTTTTCCTCCCTCCCCATTATTTTTAACTGCACATTTACTCCCCCCACCCCCCATCACATGGTAGGTCTCCCATGCTTCATGGTCTTTCAAATAGCACTGTCAGTCACTCAGCAATCTTATCATCCAGTACTTTCTGGACAAAGTGACTTGAATTCATCAAATGTTTTCAATTGAATTTTTTAAAATGTAATTACTGCGAGTTTGAATAAGCTTTCATACTATGTAGCAACATCGTTTTTCCAACTATGTAGAGTTTTTCTCACCGGTTTTTGTGTTGTTGTTCAGTTGTGTCTGACCCTCCGTCACCTCATTTGGGCTTTTCTTGGCAGAGATACTGGAATGGTTTGCCATTTCCTTCTCCAGCTGATTTTGGCGAACAGAGATGACTTTCCCAGGGTCATGCAGCTAGTCAGTATGTGAGGTCACATTTGAACTCAGGAATATGAGTCTTCTAGATTCTAGACCTGACCCTCTTATCTACTGAACTACCTAGTTTTCAGTATTACAGACAATGAATATATGGACCTTTCCTTTCTGCCTCTACCAAAAATTTTATATATATTTTTATCTATCTATCTATCTATCTATCTATGATATATATGATATATATTCAAAACTAAGTACTTTTCCTCAAAATTTCCAAAAAATATACAAAATTTATTTTGTATTTACTGCCTCTCATCAGAATACCAATAGTAGTATAAAAATTTTGGTAATATTTCATGTTTTAACTTGGAAGTTTCATTAAAAAAAATTAAATATTCTAAGTATGACTGGAAACCAAAATAATCCCAGTTATGCCAACTCTAAAAAACATAAAAAAATAAAACACTGAGTAGGGAAGTATATGGGTAGGTACGTGGTGCAGGGAACAGAGTCAGGGACTGGAGTCAGGGAAGACCTGAGTTCACATTTGGCCTCAGACAGCTGTGTGACCCTGGGCAAGTCACTTAAACCTGTTTGCCTCAGTTTCCTCATCTGTAAAATGAGCTGGAGAAGGAAATGGCAAACTGCTGCAGTATCTTTACCAAGAAAACCCCAAAAGACATCACAAAGAGTATGAAGCAGCTGAAAAATGACTAAACAACAACAAAGGAAAGCATTTGGTCTATTTAGAGAGAATAAATTCATGCGATAGTAGAGATATGTGAGGAACTAACAAGGTAGGAAATAGCCACACAGTGTATGGGGACATATTCTACTGTTGTCAAAATTCTCATGGTTTTAAAGAAATAATTATGATTTTAACGTTGATTGATGCTTCATTATCATGGGAACTTAATTCATGGATTCAGGTCAAGACAACTCAGTCACTGAGTAGCCAGTTTTTATGAATTCCTGTGGCCAAAAAGTGCTGTTACTCTGTGGTCACTGTGATAAAGAATCTCTCCAACTTAGTTAGACTGGGCCTCTGAGAAGAGACACATTTAGTTTATGACTGGGCCTCTTGTGGCATTCATATAATACTTTGAGGTTGACTAAGTACGTCACTTATATATTACCTCATTGATTCCTCTCAATGATTCTGTAAGTACCTCGAAGAAATTAACCATAAAATCCATCTTCTTTGAACAAATTCCATTATAAGGAACTCTGGGAAGGATCACACTTTTGCTGTTTTTGAAATTGCATTACACTGATCACACTGCAAGAAAGAAAAAAAAAATCAGGTCTTCAAGTCAGAGAAAAGAAATAAATGCCATAATGCAAGGTCCCTGTATTTTTTTCTAGCTGCTCTATTTTAATCAGGGAGGCAGGGCAATTACACAGTGGGAGCAGGAGGGAGCAGCTGCTGCCACTGGTCCTAATGACTTCATCGGCCTGTCTCCCCTCTCTGTGGCAGAATATACCAGAAGGGCCAGCAGAAGCCTTTGGCCTGATGTTCCTAGTGACCGTGTAGCCTGTGTGGCTATTGCTACTAGGGAACATCAGAAAGAGTGTAGCTCTGGGGAGTCTAGCTACTGCCCTTTTTGACTTTTCCTGAGATTCTGTGTCTACATTCTGCTGCTTTGTATTTGCTTCTTTAGAAATGTATAAGATCTTAATCAGAATACTCCTATGGGCTGGGTGACAGCCCTGAATCTTAAGGTCACCTCCGCCATTAAGCCCCTTCACTTTTTTATACCCTCTTGTATCAGATATCTGGTGAGCCTGGCAGTTGAAGGCCTTTTGACCCAGATAGAAGACTAGATTCTCTATCACACTCTGAAGCAAATGGGTTATATTGTAGGGAGTAGTGACTGACAATACCTGGTGATTTTATCTTATTAGGATATGAGGTCTCTCCATCCCCACTCAGATGCATAAAAACAAAGAGACACTTGCAAATGAGCTCTCCTGCAAAAGTCGAGAGAAAGTACACAGATTTACAATTCATAGCAAAAGTGGCTTGTCTGTTGGAGGAGTCTGGGGCCCTTCTAATCTGAACTGAATCCAAATAAAAGCTTCCTTATCACTTTCTCTCTGCTGCTTGGCTTTTTTATGCAGTGAGCTAGGTAGGGGAGTTGGGGGTGGGGTGGGGTGGAAGGGCAGGGGGATGTTGTTTTCTTTCTCTGGACAAATGGAAAGGAATCTTTAGCTACCCTTCCCGGTCACTACAACATGAGACAATTTAGGGCATTAAGCTTAGACATTTAAAGCCCCAACGGACCATCATGGTCACTTAGTGCATCTGCACCCTACCTCCCTCATTTTACAATTGAGGATTCAGGCAAAGAGGGTCACATAGACAACTAAGCTGGGGTTTGAACCTAGGTACTTTGACTCATTACCCAAACTGACAGTATGAGTCAGACTAATAAAATCCCAAAAGTTCAAGGCAATTATTCAGAGATACAAAAACACAAATGGGACAAAGAATTTGATGAGCATAATATGAACACAAGCCATTAAAATACAAAGGCAGTATTTCAAATCAGAGTCACCTTCTCATTTGGTTATTTTTGTTCTGTAACTTGAAGGACAGGTTCCCTTGGTGATCTTCGAAGTCTGGTGCACCCAAGGGTGCTCAAAGTGAGGTGTCCCTGGAAACATTAGAAAGGAATGGTTTCTAAAACACTGCAGCTCACTGGAAACAAAACTCCAGGGAGAATGTAGATCAGAAGGTATCAGCTGCTTACAAATTTTAAACACTGGGCAGAAACACATTCAGTCCTTGACCACTTCATAGGAGGTAGCTCTACTGACCTTGTTACGTCACTGAAAAGTTTAAGCTAAAAATAAGATAGAAGTTTTATGAACAACTGACCTTATTCACCTGACTCCCCAGACAGTGCTTCCTATTGCTCTAACAGTGGGTGTGGATTGATATGATTGAGCTGAAGAGGCAGCTGGGCTGTCAGTCAGTCACTCTTTCCACCTTTTTTTCCCCCCTTCCCTTATTTTGTGTGTGTGTGTGTGTGTGTGTGTGTGTGTGTGTGTGTGTGTGTGTGTTTTGTAAATTTAAGGCATGAATGGACCCTAGTGGTCATTTGGTCCATTACCAGCCTACAACCCTCATTTTACAACTGAGGATTCAGGCACAGAAAATTACACAGATACTATGGGGGTCTATGACTCTTCACCTTTTGGGTTTCATTCTCTATCTAGTCTTTCCCTTTGGAAGAGTGGCTTTTACTATTGTTCTATAAGAAATGATGAGCAAGCAGACTTGAGAAAAACCTAAAAAGACTTATATGGACTGATGCTGAATGCAGTGAGCAGAACCAGAAGAACATTGTACACAGTAACAGCCATGTTGTGCAATGACTAACATTAATAGACTTAGCCCTTATGCAAGGATGAAAGACATCTCCAAAAGTCTCATGATGGAAAATGCTATCCACATCCAAAGAAAGAACTATGGAGTTTGAATGCAGATCGAAGCATACTATTTGCTCTTTTTTTTTCTTCCGTTGTGTTTTGTTTCCTCTTTCTTGTGGTTCTTCCTATTAGTTCTAATTCTTCCTTACAACATGACTAATGTGAAAATATGTTTAATAGGAGTGTATGTGTATAACCTGTATCAGATTGCTTGCCATCTTGGGGAGGGAGGTAAGGAGAAAGGGGGAGAAAAATTTAAAACTCAAAAGCTTATGGAAGTGATTGTTGATAAATCAAAATAAATTAATAAAAAAGTGGCTTTCATTTAAAAAAAAAGTCAAAGAAAAGGGCAGATACTGCCTTAATGACAACCTAGATGGTTAGCTAGCCATATCCACTACTTATGACTCATTTGTCTAGAAAGTCTGTAATTAAAATATCCCTTTTATACCAGAAAGTTGTAATATAAATGAATAATAATTGCACAACTCTGGAACCCAGGAAGAGATGGTATACTTAAGGGGGTTGGGGAGGAGACACTCAAAACCCTACATTTTAGAATCTTTTTTTTTTCTTTCTCTTCCTAGGAGTTCCTCAAGCACCTCCTTTCAGTGCTGTATTAAACAATGACAACCACACATTATCAGTGTAGGTGGTTAATGGCTTTATCACTTTTGACCATGTATTTAAACACAGAAAGGTAAACATACAATTTTATAAAGCAAGGATAAACTTCCCAATCTGTAGCTAGATTTTAGGGGTAATCTTCTTGGTAAAGACAGAGGAAAAAGGAAGAAGGGAATGAAGAATTACAATTTTAGGACTGGAGTAGGTGATGGCCAGTATTAGCAGTCCTGGATCAGTTCCAACAGCCTCATGTTGCTGCCATCTTGGATTTCGCATTAACTTCTATTGATCCAATGGCTATAGCCATTGGTAGCTTTCATGATGGCCAAGTAATTCTCCATGGCCTTCCTTTGCTGGTTGATGCTCAGTTTTTCCTCTACACATAACATAATCCCTTTGTATGGGAGGACCCTATTGGTACATTTCATCTTTGTAGAAAACATCTCTTATATCTTCTCTGACAATACTACCAGGATGATGCAGAGCTAGAGTATTGTAATAACATTCTGGTTAGTCTCTCTGTCTTCCTGACACTCTCTCTCTCTCTCTCCCCTACAAATCAGACAAAGAAAAAGATTCTTACGTTAATGACAACTCATGTAATTAGCTAGTCATAGTCACTGTATTTCTATTCTAGAAAACCCTCAGTTAAAATATCAGAGACAGAGAGAGATCTACGTGTACAGGGTAGAAACAGAAACACCATCTGGTTGGAAACAAAAGGAAAGCTTCCTAGAAGAGGTAACACTTGAGCTGACCTGAACATGTCAGGGCTCCTCCAAAACTGTAGAAGCAAAAGTGGAGGCCCATTTGCCTCCTTTGCTTTTTTCTTAATCATTACGTTTCTGCCTAGATGGGAATGGTTAAGAGGTTCCTAAAATGGTGTAGCAATTCAAAGTTCCTGCACTTGCTGAAGTTGACTGGAAAATGATTTTTCTATTTCAGTTAACACAGACTTAAAATCAAAGGAGAGAGGCCATTTCTCTTTTACATTTCCCCAATGGTCATCTTTCCCAACATGAAAGAGAGAAATTAGCCTGGTAAGAGTTCCTCCCATGGATTCATGAACACTCTGAGAAATATTCAGATCCCTAACATTCATCTCTGACCTACTTCTGGAACCCTTTGCCTTTCTGTCCTCTGTGAATCAGAAGTACCTTCTACCTTGATCCCCTTTGTATGTAACAAACTTTGCTCTTAGACTTAACATAGCACTTTGTTAATTCTAATGCACTTACCAAATAATATTGTATTCCATAACTATATATTATTGTTATATTCTTCTTGATTATTCATTCATACTATACTGCAGGCTCCTGGAAGGTACTTTGTTTTTTCTAAACTTTTTTCTCCCCTAGCACCCAGAGTGATGCTGTGCATAAGTCAGGAACTTTTTACATGTTTTTTATTGGTTGTACAGCATTTTTATGTATTGGTACTATCAATATAAATAAGGAAGTTAGGAAGAAGGGCAATCAGTTGATCAGCCAATAAATATTTATTAAGCATTTGTTACATGACACACTTTGCTAAATGTTAGGACTATAAAAAGAGGCAAAGACAGTACCTGCCCTCAAGGAGTTTACCATCCAATGGAGGAGACAATATGCAAATAAATATACACAAAGCAATCTATGTGGAGGATAAATAGGGGATAATTCACCAAGGGAATGCACTGGAATTAAGAGGCTGGGAGAAGGCTTCCCGTGGAAGGTGAGATTTTAGTTGGTACTTAAAGGAACCCAGTCAGGTCAGTAGTCAGAGCAGAGGAGGGAGAGTGTTCCAGTGATGGGGGACAGCCAGAGAAAACACCGGAGCTGAGAAAGGGAGTATCTGGTTCCTGCAACAGCCAGGAGGCCAGTATCACTAAATCAAAGAGTATGTATGGAAGAGTAAGGTGTAAGAAGCCTGGAAAAGGAGGGGGCCAGATGAAGAAGGGCCTTGAATGCCAAACAAAACATTTTGTATTTGTTCCTGCAGGCAAAAAGAAAAAAGATGCCAGTTTTTTGGTGTTGTTGTTGTGTGTGTGTGTGTGTGTGTGTGTGTGTGTGTGTGTGTGTGTGGTGTGTGTGTAACGTAATTGGACCTGTGCTTTAGGAAAATCACTTTAATGTCTGAGCGGAGGATAGTTTGGAGTCGGGAGAGACTGGAGGCGGGCAGATCTACCAGCAGGCCATTGGGATAGCCCAGAGGTGAGGGGATGAGGGGCTGCGCCAAAGTGGTGACGGCGTCAGAGGAGAGAAGTTGGAAAGGTGAAATGAACAGGCCTTGGCAACAGCTTGGATATGGGGTGAGTAATAGCAAGGGATGCAGGATAAGTCCTGCAGCAGTTTTGGGGAAGCAGGAGAGGTGTTCAGTTTGGGGACGTCCCAAGGTGGGAGGCATTAGTTAGTCTTTTGGGTCCAGTAGGCAGCTACAAATAAAGGAGAGGGTCAGATTTCAATTGTTTATTTATTAAATTAAATTTAATAACTAATTATTATACATAATTAATACTTATACATAGATTTGAATAGGGCCTATCAGTGAAACCAAGGGAGTATATGAAATTGCCAAAATAGAAACTGTGTAGAAGATGGCCCATAGGAGAGGGCTGGGTTTCATCAGAACTTTGCCATTAATTAGCTACTTAGGAAAAATCGGTTAACCTTGTTTCTCTTTTGAGAGGTTAGGCTTATGAGTTGGAAGTTGTCTTCTGGCTCTAACATTCTGAGATTCTGGGAATAAGCTTAGGAGCCAAAAAAATGTTTTCTTGTACATCATGATGACTTAATCAACATGAGACTATTTCTCTGGGCTAGTTAGTTTTAGAAGTAATAGGATAAAAGCAAAATCATAAAACTGAATAGTACAATGTGGGTCTGAAATGATGAAAAAGCAAACACTGTCTTTCTGGTATGTGGTCTGCTCAGGGTCCTGAAACTCCAGAAAAATCCGTCTGTGGCTGTTAGTTAAATGCTATTCTCTGCAAATCAATACCACCAGCTCACAATT